TTCTACTATAACTTACGTAGTGGGTAGTTTTCAATCCTGATTTGTGTATTTGTTGAACATTTTCAAGATCGCCCTGTACGTAACCAAACCAAAACTCCGAATGGGCTCTTATAAAAAGTGTTCATCAAGTGATTTATCTGGGCCAAAAAATAAACAGATAGACATCAACTGCGTACATTCATTTCCAACATGTACCTAAATATATGTATAAAAACGGAAACGTACAAAAAAAAGAATAATCAAATGAATGAAAGAATAGACATTCTAAAATAAAAGGGGGCAGCCCATATCACAATATATTAATTTAGTAGTTAGTTACCTTTGAGAGATCTTTTCCGAAATACCCCTGGGAGCGCACGTGGAAATTTGAAATTTTTAACACCGCATTAGTTACAATTTTTTTCGAAAAATGTCTGCATAAAATAATACAGAGAGAGAGAGAGGCTGCGTCTTCAACTGTTGAGTTTGTATCCTCAATATAATTATTCAGACTTTTAATGCTTATACAGGGTGTCCAAGATAAGCAAAAACTACTAAAATCTGGCCAAACCATTTTTGCTTATTTTTTTTTGATTCTTTGACTGTGACTATATAAGTGTGTGTCTATGTCATTAATCATTTTTTCAATGTGATAACACTAATTTCACTGTTGTTATTCCACTTTATGCTAAGTACTTTTTCCTTCTTTGTGGTTCTGCGATAAAATAAATTAGGCAAAGGTTTTTTATTATTACTATTTTTATCTGATATATCGTTAAATTCGTAGAAAAAGACGTTACTAGATACCGGGTGTACTTTTTTCGGAGGTTATAAAAATATAAAGCTGATGATGGTTTCACAAAAACGAAACGTCAATTTAGCCAAATTTTATTTTTTCCCAAATACCGAAGTAATTGATAATAGAGTGCCCATTCGTAGGCCAAACCCTTTTCAATGATTTCCTTTTGGCAAATTTAATAGTTTATTGATTGTGTAATTTCACCCGTATTATATCTTTCTTTCTCAGCGAGTCAGTATGGTGTTGACGATCAGCAAAAAACTCTGTAGTTTCTCTCCGCTAGTTGGATTCCTATAAAACATATCTTCTTCAAGGCCACTCAAGATACCTTCTTCTAGAACGTTACGTGTTCTGCGTGATTCGCTTTTCTGTTTCCGTTGAGGTCGTGGTCATTTTCCGGATTCTGGGATATTAGGCCCCAAGCGCCAATTCATGGACTAGCACCCTTTTCTTGTGTAACTTAAGTTTAGTCATTTTGGTTTGGGTGCTACGTCTTCCATTTTTTTTAAGGGGATTTTAACCCTCAGCGGTAAGTTCTTTTTATATACCTTCGGACCACGTGCCTTAATGCGTGTCCTGATGACGTTTGTTCAATATCCCCTTGAAAAAAACCCTGATGTGAACAGTGTGAACCATTATTTATCGTTGTGTTTTATTAATTAACAAAAACAGGCGTGGCAAGTGTCTAGAGTTTGGGAATTTTAAAAACCCATCGATAATCACGCTTAATTATTTAAAGACTTCTCTTGCAATAAATAAGATTCAAGCTCAACATGTGAGTTACAGCAACTATCTTTTTCTCTCTCATCACTATTTTCGATTTTACGCAGACCATGACTTGATAGATGACTACTAATGACGTCATTATGACTGATCAATCGCGGGCAGTGAATCAAAACTGTATCGTTGCGAAGAAAATAAAATAATTTATATGTACCTGAACTACTATAATGACTCTGGAATTCAATGACATGGTTAATAATAATAGGCATGAGGAAATCTACAACATTCTATGAATTCCGTTTATAGTCATTCAGACGGAGGGAAGTGTAGTTGTCCTAAAACTCTCCTGTTAAACAGTATTTTTTTTTTTCGTTGTGCTACTTCAAGAATTCATGTCGAGTTTGGATGCAAACTTTGAATTTTTCACTTACTTGCGCCACGTTTCATTGCTCGATATAAGATGGACCACAAACACTGTGCATTACACAACATATATTTATTTACATTTCGGACGGTTGTGACGTCACAATGACGTCATTCGTCGTCAGAGAACAGGAAGCACGGGGCTGGCAAACTTTCTTGTCATCACACTACTCGGACTAAAATTCATATTTTTTATATATGAAGAATATTAACACAGTGCGCGGTTATCGGCATAGATATACAGGGTGTTTCAGGTTCGACTGCTGGAATATCGGAAACTCTATGGGGGCAAAGTTGTTGATTCAAAGTATACTAAGTGACATATAAACCCGAACACCCAGTTTAAATGGTTTTATTTTAATAAAATTTTGTATAAGTACTTAATGAAGCATAATAAGTAAATGATAAAAATTTCAAAATGATTGCACTGCTTTAAAGCCCTTTGACCTTTAATAATTTGATGCACCCTGATGTGCTATGCATTCTCCAACGCGCCTAGGCATGCTTCTGATCAGGTGGTCAATGTCCTCCTGTGGTATCTCATTCCAGGCAACCACCAACTCCTCTCGAAGTGCTTCTAGAGTATGAGGAGGACGTTGCAAATTGAGCAATCTCCTACCCATCATATCCCACACGTGCTCAATTGGGGATAAGTCGGGAGATCTTGGTGGCCATGGTAACAATGTGACATCATTATGTTGAAAGAAGTCTATTGTGACTCTTGCAACATGTGGTCGTGCATTATCTTGTTGGAAAGTTGGATCTGCCAGGGTGTCAAGATAGGGTAAAAGATGGGATTCTAGAACTTCGTGGATATAACGCTGCGCGTTCATGTTACTTCTGATGAAGATTAAAGGTGACCTGGAACCATAAGCTATAGCATCCCAAACCATAACTCCAACAGTGTGATGAACATGTCTTTCAACAAAAAACTGTGGATTCCTCCTTTCACCACCCTGGCACGTCCATCGTGCATGCCTAAACAAAATCGAGACTCGTCACTAAAGACAATACTGTTCCATTCCTGATCCCAGAGTGACCGTTGTCTGCACCACTCAAGGCGATTACGTCGGTGTTCTCGAGTTAAAGGGAGGACCCAGTGTGGCCGGTATGAAAACAAGCCAAAACTTCTCATTCGTCGGTAAACACTTCGCATGCCAATAGGTCTTCCGTGTTCTGCAAACCATTCATTTGCAATGGACCTGATAGTGGAGAAACGGTCCCTTAAGGCCAATAATCTTAGGCGGCGATCTTCACGGTCTGTTGTTCTACGGCGTAGTCCAGCGCCCCTTGCTCTTTGCGTACGGCCTTCTCGAAGCCATGCCTGACAACACCTAACCACAGTGTCTACACTTCTTTGCACTCTAACTGCAATTGCCCGAAAATAAAGTCCAGCTTCCCGAAGTCCCACTATACGGCCCGTATCAAACTCACTAAGTTGACGAAATCTTACAGGTCTCCGTACTCTAGGCATCGTAACCGATCGTAAAGGATGTCAAGAACCAAAATCCGCCAACGTTGATTCTTTACTGCGACTGAAATATTCATTTTTAGAGCGTTACTGAATTAAAAAAAAAGCAGTATAAAAACCGGAATGTCCAACTGATAAGGCTGAAAATTTTTTCACTTGTTATTTTACAGTAAGATAAATACATTCACCAACTTTTATTAAAATAAAACCATTTAAACTGGGTGTTCGGATTTATATGTCACTTAGTATATTTCCACAGAAAAAAAAAAGTATTTTACAAAAATGGTATTAATTGTTCAGTATTTGTACTGGGATTTCAAAATAACTTGTAGATTGACATTACCACTTTTTCTCCTCTACAAGATGGCATAAGTACTATATACAGGGTGGCCCATCCATGTGTGGACGATATATTACTCTTAAACCAATACATTTTGAGATATGAGATATTATAGATGACATTTGACGGCACATTTATAAAATATTGGCCATTATACAGGGTGTCCCAATTTCGACCTACATATCAAAGTTGCGATTTTTCAAATGGAATGCCTCAAATTTTATTGCATATTTGGATAGACCAATTCAAAAGAAGAAAATTGATATAACATACTATGGGGTTTTGGTGGTTAACTACTGAGGTATAAGGTGTTCTTTCTAGAAAAACCCCCCACCTCGGCAACCCCTCAGTCCGCCATTTTAAAATTTGGAGTGCTGAATGTTGTATCAAAGAAAACCCACACATCTCAGCTTTTATCTTATTTGTTAATCTTTCGAATTTTAATTTTTGCACATACAGGGTGGCCAAAAACGCAAATTGTAGTTTTTCTGAAAAGTTTCAAATGTATCACCCTGTATATTTGTGCAAGTTTGGATTCACTTTTTTATAAGCTTTTTTAGATACTAGACACGTAAGGGTTTTTTACGGCTATTTTTAGAAATACGCCCTCAAATGTCATGTAAAACATGCTATAAATAGATTTTCCCAAAATGTATTTGTTTATAAGTAATATTTCGTCCACACATGGATGGGTCACCCTGTATATGTAATTGGAAAAAATCGGTTTTTTTTTTACTCTTTCCGAAAGTACTCTGGATCTCGAAACTTTCTAAGCAACATTCTGTTAACTACCTAAACACGACATTTTTTCCTCATTCAAGCCACACCCCGTATAATATTAGTATATTTTGAAAATTTTAACCTCAGACTACTGTAGTCCTTACGTCCGTAACGTAATTTTTTCGAAATCATTGTTGAAAGACGATCTGGATCGCCCCTTTCGGGATATTAAAAAACAAAAAGGATTGCTGTACTTGTGCTGTGATGTTCTAATATCCGATATCCACCAGTGATTCTTTTATCTAGTTTTTAACGAAAGCATTTACTACAGGCATTTTCAACTATCCGTTTGAATTTTCTAATTCTATCTATGAAGGCGTCTAGCAACTAAAATGCGATGAAAGCCTGCCAACCCCATCGTAAATAAACAGGTGACAAAAATACAGAGAGAACGACACAACACCAACACATTTCGGGGTAGATTTGAAGTACGTAACTGAAGGAAAAGTGACAGAAAGGCTTCTAGAACCGGAATAAGTTTCAGATTACAAAATCTCATCACAATAACTCCTTGAATTTTTTTTATTGAAGTACAAGTCAAGACTGTCTTTACCTTTAAATGTATACCATTCCAAGAATCCAAGAGATCGAGAGGCTTGATGATGGACAGTTACTTCCACCAGCCTATATTATGTTTTAAAATACGTTTTATGTGCATTACCATTTATCAGGGAGTAATTGTTATGAAATGTTTCACCATCTGTCACTTGAAAGGTTTTTTAGAATGATCTGTGTGAGGAATAATATTTTAGGGTTACGAATTCAATGATACGTTGGGAAGCTTTAGATGATTGAAGCGAAGCTAAATGACTAAAAGCTTCCACCTAAAGGTATTAGTCCACACATCGTCTTGCTACGTCCAACGTATCCAAGATATGCTACTGATTTTTTATCACATATCATATTCAAACTTGAGGGATAAGTTAGACGTATGCTTGTCGAATGTTTAAAAGTATCGTTTTAAATATGTTTAATATGAATTCTTTAGTCTTTATTTAAATCTGGAGTATATTATATAACACGCTAACATAGTTTTGTCTCGGGAGGGAGTACCTAGGTTGTTTCTTTGATAATCCCTATACAGTGTGTTTTCTAAATGACTAATATATTCTTGTAATATAATCACTCACTGATGATAAATAGTACGTTGAAAACTAGTGGGTTATCGCAGATACAGGTAACATATAGAAAGCGCAGGGGCTTATGCGTCGTTTTAGATTTTGTTTTGAAGCAATAACAGGGAAAGCTAAGCACATTTTTGGTTCAGAATCTAAAATATTCATATTGTGTTCGAAAATAGACGGGGATATTTCATAGGTCACTCCTTATTAAAAATATGAAAAAAATCACTTATAAACTTGGGTACGGTAATGCAACAAACGTCACTGCCTTTTTGTAACTTTAATATTTGTTGTTTGATTAAGCATCTAAAAATACAACTTCTTTGTCTCTTGTATTTTTTTGTATCTCACTCCATTTTAGAGAAAAAAAACCGTTCTATTGCAAGTCACTGGTTTATTAATTTTTGCTAAAAAATCACAAGTGCCCCGGAAAACAAAAAATCAATTCTGCATGAAGTTTTGACATTTACGCGTCAGTTCTTCTAAAGGGTTGTCCAATAGGGACGCAGGAAAGTAAACGTCAATTTGACATAGACGCCATCTTTGCTTTCTGTCACCGACATGTCATTTTGTTTACCATTGATCGCTATGGAGTCGTATTCGATTGAAGACCGCATTAAAGTTATTCAAGAGCACTACAAAAATGGTGCAAAAATAAAAAACACGTTTCGCGCGCTTCGTGAACATTTCGGTCGCAACAACCGCCCAAACGAAACAACCATCGGTCGTCTGGTGCGTAAATTCGAGGCAACAGGTTCTGTGGCAAATCTGCCAGGCTCTGGCCGAACAAGGAGCGTTCGCACACCGGAAAATATTGCTGTTGTGAAGGAGAGTGTGAGAAACGATCCGAAACAATCAACAATGCGTCGATCCCAAGAATTGGGCATTTCGAGAATCAGTTTGCTCCGCATTCTCCACAAGGATTTGAATGTACACGCCTACAAGATCCAATTGACGCAAGAGCTGCGTCGGGCCGACCATTTTTCGCGCCGAACGTTCTCAGATTGGCCAAATTAATGCCAATTTTTCATCAAAAATCATGTTCAGCGGCGAAGCGCATTTCACTTTGAATGGGACGGTAAACAAGCAAAACTGCCGCATCTGGGCGAACGAAAATCCCCGTGAGTATCAAGAGCAGCCGATGCATCCTCAAAAAGTGACGGTGTGGTGTGCATTGTGGTCAAAAGGCATAATCGGACCTTACTTTTTCGAAAATGCGGCCGGGGCGCCGTTACCGTCAATTCTAAGCGATATCACGTGATGATAGAGGACTATTTTTTGCCGCAACTTGAAGGAATGGATATGGACGATGTTTATTTCCAACAAGACGGTGCAACATGCCACGCAACCAACGTCAATATCCATCGATTGCAGTCCTTCTTCGGTGATTGGGTGATTTCGCGCAGAGGAAATGTGCCATGGCCACCAAGAACGTGCGATTTGACCCCCTTGGACTTCTTTTTATGGGGATATTTGAAAAGCAAAGTCTACGTCAACAAACCAGCCACCCTCCAAGAACTCAAAAACAACATCATTGCCGAGATAAATGCCATAGAACCGACCATGTTGCAAAATGTCATTGAAAATTTCGACCATCGCGTGGACGTCTGTAAATCCAGTCGTGGTGAACATTTGAGCGATATTATTTTTCATACATAAATGGTATAAATGAACCTTCAAAATAAAGTACCCAACTTGATTTGAATATCAATCTTTCTTTTTTTAATATGTGTTTACTTTCCTGCGTCTGTTTTGGACAACCCCATAGAAAAGAATTATTCATGTAACTTTCTTTGCGAGAAATTTTGACTCAGTTTTTGTGATGGAAAATTACACTTTTGAGGAAATGGTAGACATGCACGTAATGTATGCACGCACTCAAAAAAAATTAGAGGATATTCGTATCTCAACTCGAACAAAGATTGTTTTCCACCATAGGCTGCGCCACGCTACTCGCCATTCTTTGGCGATTCCAAACTTCATGAAAACAATTCTGTTAGTGGCATGTTTGCCTGATCTAAAACCACTCCTCCTGCCATTCCTATACGTCGCCTGTCAACCTTGTTACCCCTCCCGTCTGTCTCACACCGCTATATCCAACCCCGACTTACCCGTGATTGAGCATAACAGCCTGAGTGTGGGCGCCGAGCCGCTGTATTGGTTGATCATGCCTTGCGAATGAGCCCTGGGAGCGGGCATGCTCAACGTGATGGCCTTGTGGAATTTCCTGCGTCTGGGTTCTACGGTCACTACGGGAGATACGGCAACGCCGTGCCCCAGCAGCTTGGCCGTCAACTCGGGATCGATGGGTTGCGCCTGCGCACCAACGGGGAATGTCAAGGTTTGCGTTCGATTAAGGGTTGTTATTATGGTAGAGGAAACGAAAGGTTTTTGTCTTGACATTTGGTGGTTTTTAGAATCTGTTGTAGATTTATTTAGCATTAATGCTGCAATATCAATGTTACACAGTAACGAGTTTACATATTTATATATGAAATGTCACATCTATGTGTCCCTTTGAACATTTTCAAACTGGCATAAATCTCATTACGTAATTTATTAAATTCGTACAATCCTTTTTATATACAGGGAGGCGCATCAAAAACGAAACGGACGCATTTACTGCAGCTCAGTTTTTTTTTGGAAAAACGCACAGACCCGTCGATTTTAAGGTTGGTGTCAGCCCCGCCCAGGGGGGCTGCACGTGTTAACGTGATTTTTTGCCAAACTTGTGTCCCCCTCGAAAACAAAATCGACGGATCTGAGCGTTTTTCCAAAAAAAAAACAGCTGCCAGTAAATGCGTCTGTTTCGTTTTCGATGCGCCACCCTGTATATTATTTTATAAATGAAAATGTACACTACCTCTAGTAGAATAACTATGGTATTGTACATTACAATAAGATTTTCTAAATCATTTGGTACATGATTTTTTAACTTGAAGATGAAAATGTAAACCAAGTAGGTGATGAGATTTTTGATATATATTTAACCATTTTAGTTTTGTTAGCATAACATTTATTCTAGTATATTTATTTTTAATCCAGATACAGTTTTTGCGATGAACAAAATATTGGGGAAAAATGATAGTATTGTACATAATTTTAGTCTGTAATCTTAGACTATGCGAAACTGTATGAAATTTATCTTTTTGGACATTTTGAAATAACATATTCATAGTGCCGTTCAAATTTTAATTCACTATCTACATACATGCCAAAATATTTAAACGATCTGAGTACCTGAATTGTATCATAATTAATCGTCAGATTTTTCATATCTTTTTCTAAAAATTTTCCTATAAGCATACATTTTGTTTTGTTTGTGTTCAATTTGAGTTTTTTCACATTCAACCAATTATGTTAGTCATCATCTAACAGCTCTATTGCAGTTTCAGTATTTGTATTTTTCCAGTGTTCTACAACATCAGGAATATCGTTAATAGTGATGGTACTAATTTGTTACCCTGTGGCACACCTACTGAAATCTTTCTAATGCTCGATAGTGTAGTTCCTTGACATCCCTTATATTATACAGGGTGGCCAAACACGTGACGTCATAAAAAAAATTAGATTCCCCACATCGAGAGGAACCCAAATCACCCTCATATATGTATATGGTCCGATTTTGTTTAGTTTAGGAGTTATGATTTTTTTTCGGATTTTTCGAGAATTTTTGAGTTCTGTGTTTATTTTTACCATAACTTCGTTAATAATTGTGATAAATGCCTGCTTTTTTCACGATTATGTAGCTAAGAAGACCTAAGGCTTAACTATCGTATAATCATTCAAGTCATGTAACTAATACTACTTTTAAATTTTTTTCAAAATCATCGAACATAACAAAAAAGTAAAAAAGTGCAACAACTTTGAACGTTTATAAAAAATTGAAAAAACATGTTCTTACTATTCGTAAGTATCTTAAAAACTTCCTTACGGTATCAGCTATTTACCGTAAAAATTTCATCAACCTAGCTTTACTACATGCTACCGTAATTGTGGCTCAAATAGAACCGAACCCAAAATTGGATAACCCTCTGCTCAATAGAAATTGTTAGTTTCGGAAAAAAATTTGCAAAAACCACAAAAACACGTTTGATTTTTACTGAACAGCAGATTATTATTCATTTATGTTATTTACAAGAGGTTTTCAAAATGTCTGCCTCTAACAGAAATGCACAGTGTACACCTACGTATGAAATTTTGTTTTAAATCTCTAAATGCTTGTGTGTTGTTTTTCAACACATGTGTCGCTTCTTGAATTTTGTTCCTCAATGAATTTTCATTTGCACATTCTTGGGCGAATGTTATGTCTTTAAAATATCCCCAAACAAAAAAATCAATGGGGTTGAGGTCAGGGGAGCGTGGAGGCCATCGTATCGGTCCGTTTCGTCCGATCCATCTGTCTGGGAACCTTTCGTTTAAGTAGTTTCGCACGATCGTTGCGTTGTGGCATGGTGCACCATCATTCTGGAACACCATGTTCCGTCTGGCTTCCAGGCTTGAATCTTCCAGCAATAATGGTAGGCTATTTTCAAGGAAGCTTTTGTAGGCTACCGAATCCAACCTTGACGGCAGTTCAAATGGACCGATAAATTCCATATTGAATATTCCTGACCACATGTTCACACTAAAACGGTGTTGAAATGTCGACGGCCTTGACTGGTGGGGGTTTTCAACAGCCCAAGTATGTAAATTACGGATATTGAATATCCCTGTTCTTTCAAAACGTGACTCGTCAGTCCATAAAATTTTATCAAAAAAATCGGGATCCTCTCGTTGTCTTCGCAGCATTGTCTCGCAACCAACAGAGGACACGTCATCACCACCGACCAGCCACTTCATCTACGGCACAGGACACGTCAGCCGTTCTGGTATAAATAACCCCGAAAGGCTAAGTCACCTGCAGACGAAATAAGAGGCCATATCAGCCGAAACCTCGAGCTCTAAAAAATTGGATATTCCGGGACTCTGCTTTGCATACTGATTTGGACTTTGTTTGCTAAGAAGTTTGTGATGCATTATACGTTGCGTGAATATGCAGAAATGCATTATTATTGTGGCGTTGCTCAAGGCAACGGCGCTTTAGCAGCTCAGCTGTACCGGGAACAACTTATACGCCGAGGCGGACCACAACCTGAGCATTACCCAGACCACCGTGTTTTTATTAACACACATAACACTTTCATGGCAGGCCGCATTCCAGGACGAGGAAGCAATGAAGGATATCCTACAGCTGATCCGGATCGCAGAGAAGTAGTACTTGAAGAAATTAGCCGGAATCCCTCAACGAGTACGAGATCTATGGCACAAAACCTTAGAATACCACGAACATCGATACAAAATATTCTTCATGAAGAAGGTTATCATGCCTATCATGTTCAAAGAGTTCAAGCGTTGATGCCTTCAGATTACCAGTTAAGAGTGGATTTCTGCGAGACAATGCTGCGAAGACAACGAGAGGATCCCGATTTTTTTGATAAAATTTTATGGACTGACGAGTCACGTTTTGAAAGAACAGGGATATTCAATATCCATAATTTACATACTTGGGCTGTTGAAAACCCCCACCAGTCAAGGCCGTCGACATTTCAACACCGTTTTAGTGTGAACATGTGGTCAGGAATATTCAATATGGAATTTATCGGTCCATTTGAACTGCCGTCAAGGTTGGATTCGGTAGCCTACAAAAGCTTCCTTGAAAATAGCCTACCATTATTGCTGGAAGATTCAAGCCTGGAAGCCAGACGGAACATGGTGTTCCAGAATGATGGTGCACCATGCCACAACGCAACGATCGTGCGAAACTACTTAAACGAAAGGTTCCCAGACAGATGGATCGGACGAAACGGACCGATACGATGGCCTCCACGCTCCCCTGACCTCAACCCCATTGATTTTTTTGTTTGGGGATATTTTAAAGACATAACATTCGCCCAAGAATGTGCAAATGAAAATTCATTGAGGAACAAAATTCAAGAAGCGACACATGTGTTGAAAAACAACACACAAGCATTTAGAGATTTAAAACAAAATTTCATACGTAGGTGTACACTGTGCATTTCTGTTAGAGGCAGACATTTTGAAAACCTCTTGTAAATAACATAAATGAATAATAATCTGCTGTTCAGTAAAAATCAAACGTGTTTTTGTGGTTTTTGCAATTTTTTTTTCCGAAACTAACAATTTCTATTGAGCAGAGGGTTATCCAATTTTGGGTTCGGTTCTATTTGAGCCACAATTACGGTAGCATGTAGTAAAGCTAGGTTGATGAAATTTTTACGGTAAATAGCTGATACCGTAAGGAAGTTTTTAAGATACTTACGAATAGTAAGAACATGTTTTTTCAATTTTTTATAAACGTTCAAAGTTGTTGCACTTTTTTACTTTTTTGTTATGTTCGAAGATTTTGAAAAAAATTAAAAAGTAGTATTAGTTACATGACTTGAATGATTATATGGTAGTTAAGCCTTAGGTCTTAGCTACATAATCGTGAAAAAAGCAGGCATTTATCACAATTATTAACGAAGTTATGGTAAAAATAAACACAGAACTCAAAAATTCTCGAAAAATCCGAAAAAAAATCATAACTCCTAAACTAAACAAAATCGGACCATATATATGGGGGTGATTTGGGTTCCTCTCGATGTGGGGAATCTAATTTTTTTTTTATGACGTCACGTGTTTGGCCACCCTGTATAAACTGTCTACAATTTTGGCCAATTCTTATGAATTTCAGGAGATATATTCCGTCAGCTTCCAGCAAAAGAACATTTTGGAGGTGGTTCTACATTTTTTCTTTGATATTAGTCACAAATATGGTACATGTACAATTCTGTACTTCTGAAGACACTTGAATTTTGCGTGGTAGCGATCCTGTCCTGGTTATAATAAAGTGACATTTTCACTGTCAATTTCAAGCCAAGCCGTTGCAAGCAATAAATTAGTGATTTGTGCAAAACAATAAGAAGCATACTTACCGATGATTTTGTTATTTTTTTCAACATGGAAACATTGAAGGAAAAGGTATATTATACTTATGTCTCGACACTTTGAAGCTACGTGAGAGTTGTCAAAGAGAAGACGATTTTTTTCTCTGCAGCGTCCCTGTTATTTTGAATCGACACGCAGGTACGTTTTTTATGATAAGCAATGGGTAAGTGAACTATACTGAGTGACAGAAAGATGTAAACACTTACGTATGTTTATCCGATTTCAATAATTTTTGGAATATATGTTCAGTATTAATAAAATGGGTAGTCAGTAATCAAAGCAATCATGCAAACAAACAATTTTCAAGCTTCGAAGAAGATGGTGAAATAAGGAAGCCTTCTTCCTTGAGTATAGAATGACAATTTTCCTGGCGCATGTGTCAAGTCTGTCAAGGCAGATAAAAACGACATGCTACAAGTTACAATACTGATAATGATGTTCCATTTTGTGTTCTTTCTTTTTCCTCTTTTAAATATATCTGCCACACAAGATAAGAATGTCAACGTACTGTCTCAGTGCATTAATTGAACATAGTGTCTTTACTACAGTATATTCAGATAAGAGATAGACCGGATGTAAACAAAAGGTTCGGGTGATTTTCACGCTAACACCGCCGTCTCGACGTAAAACAGGAGCCCTCATTGGTCAATTCGCAATTAAATGCCTATGCCGAGCGGCAGAGCAGTCGTATCAAGGCAGAGTCACATTCAGGTTCAGACGTGTTACGTATGTCGTGTGCATCATTGCAATTTGATATTTCCTTGGACGTTTTCGTTTGTTATCTTATTAAGTTGTTGAGTTTGTCGTTGTTATTGTTATACCTTGTTATTGATTGTTATTGTTATCAACTGCTTGCGCAAAATGCCCAGTAGTACAGATACTGCCGATGAAGTTGTAAACTCCTGTAGTCCACCTAGGAAACGCTCTAAAAAAGACACCTGAGTGCAGAAATGAAAGAGGTCATTTTGAATATACTCGTATATAAGATCGAGCGCGAGGAGAACGAGGCATCAACCATCAAAGAAATTGTTGTGAAGGTTTCTCACAAAGTTGGGGTGTGTCGCGCATCAGTGTTTAATGTGTTAAGACAATACAAAAAAAATCACACCTTTTCTGAGCCAATGACCAGTAAACATCGCAAAAGTATTGTTAAATCATTGGATGAAGCTGATAAGCATGCGATTAGGAGGAAAGTGCATGAATTCTTCTTTAGGAATGAAATACCTACTATAGATAAAGTACTGCAGGAGGTAAATGGAGATACAACGTTGCCAAATTTCAAACGATCAACTTTCCATGCGTTACTGAAGCATTTAAATTTCAAATGGAAAAAACGGGGTCGTAATAGTTTACTACTGGATAGAGAAGAAATTGTGCTATGGAGGAGGGATTATTTAACAAAAATTGGGAAATATAGAAATCAAAACAGGAAGATTTATTACCTTGATGAAACGTGGGTAAACGCAGGACACACTACAAGTAAAGTATGGGTTGATGATTCTGTAACTTCATCCAGGAGGGCCTTTCTAGATGGACTGTCCACCGGATTAAAAAATCCAGCAGGTAAATACGAGTAATAGACAACAATCGGATGTTTTTCAAACCTTGGGAACAAGGTTCTAAACATTAATTCCAGGGGGCAGATAAAACATATTACAAGTAACAAAACTTTTATAACTTTCGATAAAATGCGTGGATGTTTTATTGTCATTTTCATTTGTTAGAACTTTTTTAAGTCATGTTTTTATGTGTTTTCGATATTTCAATAATTTTTTAATATAATCTTAAAATATGTCGAATATTATAAACTTAAAAAAAGTTACTAAGTTTTATATTGTGTACCGTTCCTAATATTTCTAATCATTTTAATTGAGTAATCATACGACGTTCAATATTCTTTCTTTCAATATGACTAAATAATCCCAATTATAGCAATCTGATACTCATGTCTCAATGTTTTTTCGCTGAATGTGATGAAAACATTTGAAAAAGGTTCGCTTATTGAAATAAATCTACATCAGTTAGTACTTCGATTTCCAGGTAAAGGGAAAAGGCTCATTATCTGCCATATTGGCAGTGAGGATGGATTTGTTGTTGACGGTCTGTGGTGCTTTGAGTCTAAGAAAACTGGAGATTACCACGAGGAAATGAATGGCGAATCGTTTGAACAGTGGTTTTCAAAAATTTTACGGAACTTAGAGGAAAACGCAGTAATTGTGTTGGATAATGCACCTTATCATTCTCGAAGAATGGAGAAGGTCCCAACAACGGCTTTAAGGAAAGTTGATGTTCAAAATTGGCTCCGCTCGAAAAATATCAACTTTGAAGAAGCAATGCTGAAAGTACAATTATTAAGAATTGTCAAGGATCACAAGGCGGAATATCAAAAATACGCCATTGACGAAATGGCAGCAAGTCAAAATAAAACTGTGCTCCGTTTACCTCCATACCATTGCGAGCTCAATCCCATTGAGCTCATATGGGCAGAGGTTAAAAATTATATAGCTAAGCACAATACAACTTTTAAATTTTGTGACCTCAAAGGACTTTTCAAAGAAGCACTAGAATTAATAACAGCGCAAAAATGGAAAACTGTATTAAGCACGTGAAAGACAAAGTTGAAAAGAGAATGTGGGAACTGGACAATATTTTAGAGGAACAAGTGGAGCCATTCATTATTGACGTTGGTGCTTCAGGCAGTAGCGATGATGAAAGCTCATCAAGCTCATCTTTCCAATAAAAGATGTCGTTCATCAAATTCGGTAAGTTATAAGTAATTATAAAGCTACTGTATTTTTTAATTAATTATTGACATTTTTGAACCCATTTTGGCAAAACCTATTCAAGAATCTACTTTCTTGCAATGTTCAACCATGCACATTTTTTTACGTTTTGAACGTTTTAATTTGGTTACATATTTACCTAGAAATCAAAAAATATACTAATCAATATTCTAAAAGCAATTTTAAGAGATATACGATTATTTTTAATTTAGGCTAATTTAAACGCCATTTTGAGATTATATTCGACTGTATTTCACCAAACATCAGGCGGCATCCGAAGCTGGAAATCGAAGCGAAAATTTTGAAACTCTTATGTATATTTACATCATTATATATTTCTTACCCCACCCCCACATGATCCTATATCCATCACCAATCGTATACACATCGAATTGTGCTAATTTACTACAAAGTTACGCAAAGCAGCATCTACTATCTAAAATATGTACTGCGTGACTCTTAATACGTCCCTGCCGAATGTTACAACGTTCGATGATCACGTGGTCTTGTTTATGTCCGGTCTATCTCTTATCTGAATATACTGTAGAGTAAAGGTGATTTACGAAATAAATTGAAGTTCTGAAAAAGATTATCGAACGACGATATCCACCTACCAATATTTGACCAAGTTGATCTGCGTCATCGTCTCGTACGATGACGATAACGGAAAACACCCACGTCATCATCAAGACGGAATACAAAATATTCACGGAGCGTCAACAATGGCTTTCTGTGCATGAATAAACAAATAATTGGATTGTCGGATATCGTCAGATTTTTCGCCCACCTTCGTACAGTGTTTCGAGACTTTTGAGTGTTAGGGAACCCTATGAATCGGCGTCACTAGGCTGTTGGCGCATGAGCGCGAAACAGCGCTGTCTGCGGTTGGTCGCGGTAACAGAGTCGGAAAGCAAACGTGTCCATTTCAAAGGTTACTGAAATTTGAAACCACAACACTTGCGGAAACTTTTTCAATTCAGCTTTTTTCAAACCTTATTTTCACAATCTTTGGCAATCTGTAGAGATAACGACAGAGGAATATGTCGAATGATAGCGATCATTAACGCTGATGGTAGAAGGCTCAGATGACAAACTTTTACGTTGTTGTGGTACATTGTACATGATTGTCAATGATTTCCAAATCTACAGGGTCACTTTGAAGTTGAGTCATTAATTTTCAGATAATGATTGTAGAAGGAATATAAACCAAAATATGTGTAAAAATAAAAAAAAATATTTTTATAAAGTATCCTCCCGACAAGTATCTCAGTGCGGAACTGTATTTGATCGTGAGATCTTGGATCACCGGCATGCAGTCCCCTGTGAGGTCTTAAGTCACCTGATTCACGAGCCCGTTGTACTACATTAACAAAGGCACGAGGGGTTGGTTGCACTCGATTGGGAAACCGATCCGCATAAATATGTGCCATTTTTTATTTCGTTTGAGCTACGCAGCAAATCACTCACGCGTTACCGACTGACACAGACTGAATAAAAACATCGTGATCAACGTTTCAAATTCTTTCGCTTTTTTTTCCGATGCGATGAACCGATAAGGCGGAGTACATCCGTTGTCGCCAAACACGAGCACATAATATTATTATTGAGACAGGGCGGTACTCAAACTTCTAAAGGGCTATAACTTTGTTACTTTAATTTTACCTCAAAAATGTTAAAGGAAAAAAACATTTGTTTTGATCAGATCTACTCACTGTTAGAATAAATGACTCAACTTCGAAGTCATGTACAGGGTGATTCGCAAGTCGTGACCAAAAACAAAACATCATGTTATTAAGAGTTATGGTTACTGTTGAAATCATCATGATTGCTAGGATTATGAGAAGAAGGCTTCATGTGTTTAGTCTGATCGGGTTATGCAGCATGACAGTTGGGATAGAAGCGAAAATGGGGAAAGAGACAGGGTAAAGGAGGCATGACACAAAGCAAGGTTCAAAACAGCAAAATAACACAAAGAAACGACAGCAAAAAGTGCAACAAAAGAAATGAGATGATTAGCAACGGCTTGAGCGGAGAGCCCAATAAAACATTTTCCAGCTTTTTCATCAAAATTTTGCTATACATGAACCGTGCTTTGTCACCCGCGGAAGCCTCAGCATTATTTTTGGCCACAACATTTTTTTTTCATAAAACGTGTGCCCAAAAACGAGCTGCGGCCTCTTTTCAATGAAAATTTTTGTTAGTATTTTGTAAATTTTATTGGGCACTCATACTGAATACATTTAAACATCGGTGCGAAAATAATTAGTGATGAACACATATGATCAGCTATGGTCTATAAATACCGATGACAATTCATGATTTGCAGCAAGAGAAATAGCAGTAAGGTTTTTGTTAGTTCATGTATAATCAGTCAAGTTGAAGATCCTCACTAGGTATCAAAACAAATGTCTGTCGCAAAGTAAACAGGACTATTGATCAGCGAACACGTCAAAATTATCGTACATTATCCTAGGTTCTTTCAGGATTCATGATGAAGGAAAATTTCCGTCTCATCATATCAATAGAACGTGAGAACTGATTGCCGACAATTTTTCCCGAGATTGTCCGCGTAATGATAGGCAACCCATTATACAGAGTGGGGTACGCGCGCTTGTCTACCAAGCGGCAACACTGACAGCTGCTTGCTGGTGTTAATGAACGTACAGTAATGGACATAAGTATATAGACAAATATGAATATTTACCTAAATACTTTTAGAAAACGAATTCATACTTCATTGCTCCATAAACAAATGCGTTATTAGTATAAAAAATAAATTCATGGTTTTTACATTATCTGCAATGAACACAATACAAGTATGAACATAAGCACTTTTTTATGAGGAACAAATTCTTTTCAACATTAGTTTAGTACAGTTTCGTGTCAGAAGAGGATTAGTTTGTGTTCGTCAAGTATTGTGGAATAAGTTGAGTGATTTTAAGATCATGTCGCGTGGTCCAGAAATTTCTTTCGATGTAAAAACTAAGATCATTGAGTTATACAAAGATGGCCAACGTCAAGTCGACATTGCCAAAAATTTGAAGCTGAAGCGTAAAGCAGTTTGGGCAATATTGAATAAATATAAACAAAAATGTGTCTTGGAAGCCTCTAAGAGAAGTGGTCGGCCTAGAAAACTAAATTCTAGATCAGTTAGATTAATTAAAGTAATTTCATCCAAAGATCGATAATTATCGTACATCTGGCAACGCTGCTATTGATAGATATCCGATACGAGCAGCGCCATCTATTATCGGATAGGTACATCTTGCATTGATCGAAAAATCAGCATCGAACAAAGAGCCAATATTAAGATCTGCGATAAACTTGGTAAAACATTTACCGAAACGCATCAGATGTTGAAGTGAAGTGTATGATGGTGATGATTGTTTATTTCGCAGCCTAGTCCAAGAGTGGTTGACACGGTTCAAAGAAAGTCTCGGGTCGCTGGAAGACGACGAGCATAATGGCCAGCCAAAATTTGTGATTAAATGCTTGCATTTATCAAAAATTATCCAAAACCTTCATTGAGATAGGTAGAAATAGAATTAAATATCTCTGAAGATTCAATCCAAGCTCACGGATGACCAAAAATTGCTTCGAATTCAACATTCGAGAAACACCAAAAAATGCAAAAACTTTGCGTTTGTTCATTTTTTCTGTTCTGTTTACTTTGCTTTTGACCATGAAAAACGTACGGCAACCAAGCGTTTCGGTTTGCCTGTAATCGAAAAATAACGAAAATGTTTCTGCTATTTCTCCAAGAATTAATATGCGCAGATATGTTATTAGTCGATCATTCAAAATGATATCAAGCACAACAAATCTTCAAAAGCGTATTTCGTCTGCACTAATTAAAAAATTGTTTCAAGTAGTCCTTAAAAAAACTTGGACAATGCGTTCAGTTAGTGATACTTTAGAATGTAGAATCAGAAAACATCGTAAAAACATTTGACGCTGATCTGAATTTTTTCATAACACCACCGCTAGATCGTTTTTCGAAACTCTCAAGACTTTTTGAAGAAATTTCATTAAATTAAATTTCCAAGTTATTTTGAGTGACAGCGAAAACCAAAACTTCGCCTACCAAGCAAATTGCTTCGAAATAAGTTAAGCCTAAACTACTTTTCAGATCCTTAAGCATTTAATTAGACACTTGACAGTCTCAAAAATAATAATTTTTAAACCAAGATACCAAGCATCGGTTATTACTCGGAAATGGTCAATTTTACAAGAAACTTACTAAATACATTTTTTTGTTCAGAATTTACCCGAAAAACATAAAAAACTTTATTGGAGTCAAAAGACCAACCAAATTTTTTTTCGAGATTATGGGAAACTCTATAGGAGTAATTTATATTTTTCGATATTTTTGAAATAATGTATTCATAATGCTCTTGAAACAGTAGTTTCGGATCCACATACAGGATGTTCCTTTGAAAACTGCCCACCACCTCGACGGTTCTTCTTTTATCGTATTTGGTGCCTTAACAAAAGGCTTTTGATTTTTGCAGCTTGTACATATAACAATAACAATATCTTATACTCAAAAATATTTTCTTATACCATACTTGGTCAATTTGTTGTGCTGGAAGTCATTGCGTTTAGGTTAAAGATGATCTTCAGCATGTGATAGTGTTACGAAGCTAGGATATCCTAAGCTAGATCTTATCATGTGTCTACAAAATCCACACAATCAAAAAATGAAATGTGTGGATTTTGCAGTGTTCTGCTAAACATATATTTGTAATCTACTAGAATAATTGATTATGTTCACTGTATCATTCATCCTTAAATATGAAAATATCTCCGAATCGCTCTAATATTCTCTATTTTTGAACACATATATGTGTGAAACAGTCCAAACTTGCTTTGCAAAAAAAATACACTTCGTGTACCGAATACTATTTTTGTACTTATTATTAGATTCATAACGAATTTTAATACTAATATAAACATAGATACATCTTTCTTAAACTGGACGTTAAATGATAGAATCTTTATTAACGTTTTTAGCAGTTTATAAGAAGTACACTAGTCGAAAAAATTTAGGGAGCAAGGAAAAAGTCCAAATTTGTCAGTGATTTTTGAAAGGCTGTATTTTGGTGAAAAATGGTCGTAACTAGGCTTTAAAAAAATATTTTGAAGCTTTAAGGTAAAAGTTAGATATACTAAGTGACATATAAATCCGAACACCCAGTTTAAATGGTTTTATTTTAATAAAAGTTGGTGAATGTATTTATCTTACTGTAAATAACAAGTGAACAAATTTTCAGCCTTATCAGTTGGACATTCCGGTTTTTATACTGCTTTTTTTTAATTCACTAACGCTCTAAAAATGAATATTTCAGCCGCAGTAAAGAATCAACGTTGGCGGATTTTGGTTCTTGACATCCTTTACGATCGGTTACGATGTCTAGAGTACGGAGACCTGTACGATTTCGTTAACTTAGTGAGTTTGATAGGGGCCGTATAGTGGGACTTCGGGAAGCTGCACTTTCTTTTCGGGCAATTGCAGTTAGAGTGCAAAGAAGTGTAGACACTGTGGTTAGGTGTTGTCAGGCATGGCTTCGAGAAGGCCGTACGCAAAGAGCAAGGGGCACTGGACGCCGCCGTAGAACAACAGACCGTGAAGATCGCCGCCTAAGATTATTGGCCTTAAGGGACCGTTTCTCCACTACCAGGTCCATTGCAAGTGAATGGTTTGCAGAACACGGAAGACCTATTGGCATGCGAAGTGTTTACCGACGAATGAGAAGTTTTGGCTTGTTTTCATACCGGCCACACTGGGTCCTCCCTTTAACTCGAGAACACCGACGTGATCGCCTTGAGTGGTGCAGACAACGGTCACTCTGGGATCAGGAATGAAACAGTATTGTCTTCAGTGACGAGTCTCGATTTTGTTTAGGCATGCACGATGGTCGTGCCAGGGCTAGAAGGCGACGTGGTGAAAGGAGGAATCCACAGTTTTCTGTTGAAAGACATGTTCATCACACTGTTGGAGTTATGGTTTGGGGTGCTATAGCTTATGGTTCCAGGTCACCTTTAATCTTCATCAGAGGTAACATGAACGCGCAGCGTTATATCCACGAAGTTCTAGAACCCCATCTTTTACCCATCTTGCCACCCTTGCAGATCCAACTTTCCAACAAGATAATGCCCGACCACATGTTGCAAGAGTCACAATAGACTTCTTTCAACATAATGATGTCACATTGTTACCATGGCCACCAAGATCTCCCGACTTATCCCCAATTGAGCACGTGTGGGATATGATGGGTAGGAGATTGCTCAATTTGCAACGTCCTCCTCAGACTCTAGAAGCAGAGTTGGTGGATGCCTGGAATGAGATACCACAGGAGGACATTGACCACCTGATCAGAAGCATGCCTAGGCGCGTTGGAGAATGCGTAGCACATCAGGGTGCATCCACACATTATTAAAGGTCAAAGGGCTTTAAAGCAGTGCAATCATTTTGAAATTTTTATCATTTACTTATTATGCTTCATTAAGTACTTATACAAAATTTTATTAAAATAAAACCATTTAAACTGGGTGTTCGGATTTATATGTCAGTTAGTATATGTAGAATAAAATACGTTTTTCCCGAAATATACCAAGAAAGTCACAAATGGGTCCACCTTGTATGTAAAACCTCCAATATTTAAAAAAAGCGTTTAGAAAAATTTTATTCTGTTATTCAAAAAACAGAAATGCGGTTTAGGGGCGGACCTAGAGAATATTTTTTTTGGGCTTTCAAAGGCGGATTTAGAAATTTGTGCCGGAGGAGGGAGACTGAACATTGATAGGGGGGGCTAGGTTGGTTAACATCGAATTGTATGACAACCTAAAATGTTTCGCGTCAAAAACTTGAAAACTAGGATTTCAAAGCTTCAAAGTGCTTTGTCTTCACCGTAATACAGTCTGTCAAAGATCATCACCGAACAACTTTCTTTCTTGCTTCCTTAATTTTTTTGAGTAGTATACTAACCAGTAAAGACCCGATGAATCATACAACCATGGGAAGTTTTTAACTACATCTCAATCCTATACACAAATACGCTTTTTGAATACCATATTCTGTGTTATCTACATTTCACACATATCACTAACAAATCTTCAAACAGAGTAGACGTTATTTTTCTTAGGCCTGATACCAAAATATATATTTTAGTTAATTTAACGCTGAATATAACAAGCGACTCATTATTTTTTTAATTCGTATTTTTTACACTACTATGGTACAGTTACTCACAACTTCTTTAACTTACTTTAATAATAAATGGATTATATGAGCATATAATACAGGGTGCGGCAGAGAGGACGGACGTTTTTGGGATGGGTAGTACTCTCCGCTACCGTCTACGAGAGAGGTGGGGAGGGTGCCGTTCGACTCGTGAGATCCTAGCATTATTTTACCAGTCGTCGTTACGGAGCCTTGGTCGGTGGAGCACCGCGTTTTCGCCTATGATTGTTTCGTCCGAAATAATGAGTCAGTCATCGTCGTACAGCGCGAGTTTCGTCGCCACTTCAACATTCATCGGAATAGAGCTGTTCCCTCTCGAAACACCATCCTTCGTTGGGTTGAATCACTTCGCAGGCGTAGAAGACCAAGAGCAGCGCCGCGGACAGTTCGAACTCCTGAAAATGTTGAACGCGTTCGACAGGTCTTTCTTCGCAGTCGGACTCGATCTGGCCGAAAACATGCTGCTGCACTTCGCCTTAGTGATCGTTCGGTAAGGCGAATTTTGCATATGGATCTCCGCTTTCACCCCTACACATTGGCCATTGTGCAACAGTTACAGCCCGGAGATTATGCACAGCGAATGAACTTCGCACGTGGGATGGAAGCGCTGATCGATCAAAATGAGAACCTCATTTTGTTTATGAGTGACGAAGAACACTTTCACCTAAACAGCATGGTTAACCAGCAGAATTGTCGTTATTGGGCTAATGAAAATCCGCAACAGTTACACGAAAGACCGCTGCACAGCCCAAAAGTAACGGCTCCAATCCGTGGTTCCAGCAGGATGGGGCGACCGCCCACACAGCCCGAGCATCTATGGACGTTATTCGCCCTGGTCGCCTTATTTCCAGGTTCGGCGATGTTCATTGGCCTCCTCGGTCCCCAGATTTATCCATATGCGATTTTTGCTTATGGGTACACCGCAAGGCTAGAGTTTACGCGAACAAGTCCCGAACTCTGGACGAATTGCAGGGCGAAATTCGCCCAAGTTGAGAGAGCGATGTTGGAGAGAGTCTCCGCGCCTCCAGCACTGCATCAACGATTTCGGCCACCGCAGGCCTGATGTGATTTTCCACACTTGACTGTCTCAAATGCTATTTCCTTGTGAACCTGATTCCATCAATAAATTTGTTTTCGGGTAAAAATTAACTATTTTATGATTTTTTTAAAACCGTGCATCCTCTCTGCCGCACCCTGTACGTTGACTAGAATAATACGACTAGCTCAGAAAATATGTTCAACTGTAAAAATACATTCTTCGTATAAAAATCAACCACTAAATTTGATTTTCGAAAACTATACAAGTTTGGCCGTGATCTGCTAGGTAATGTTGTCATTTGAATATTTTACATTTTATCGACGGAATAATATCGATAGCGATCTGGATAAGTTAGAAATATAAGTTTGGCATTAGATAGATTGTTTCCGGAATTTTTTAGCAATTTTTCGTACATTTTAGTTTGTCCTACTCCTCATCTAGAAAGAAACGTATAGCAAGACAGTATACAGGGTGATTCACAAGTCGTGACTAAAAATGTAACATCATACACCCTTGAGGAGTGGGGGGAAGAGCAATCTGCTCCTCCCTCCTCTCCCGCCCGAAGGCCTGGCGTGGCGCTGCGTGGTTCAGGCCGCTGCGCATTCCCCGAGTGTGTGTTGCCGAGCGAGCTACCCCCTCCCCAATTTTATCCCTTTTTCCCGAATTTGATACGATCGCGCACCCGTCGCGGAAGCACGTGGTGGACGTTTCATCCAACTGTCGGTTTTCCACTTTTATGAACGGCCTCTTTCTTGGGAGTCCTGCGCTGGGGGCTTTGACCTAAGCCCCGCATTAAGGGCTACTACGCACGAGCCGCGCACCGCGGCAGATGAGCGGTACCGCGGGGAAGTGCGGATTGCTTTACGGAAACCATCGCGGATGGCTGGTTGCTAGGTAGTCGTTATGAAAGTGCGCGCGGTCTCCGTGTTCGCCGCGTCCGCCCATTCGCGCGGTTACGCGGTTGCCAGTGCGTTGTCTGCCATAATATCCTATATAAATAAACATCCGCGCGACCGCCATCCGCCGCGGTTTGCGGCTCGTGCGTTATTGTCCTAAGGTTGGATCGGTTAACTGGATGAGCGTGGGGGTACTCTGGGCCTCTTGAGTGACGTGGCTTTTGCGCTGTGTTTGTTAGAATTGGGAACCGCGTTTTGTTTAAAGCAAGACCTTCTTTTCTGTTGAAATTATCATTGTGTTTGTAGATTTCAATTGCTTCTCTGTACATTCGAGCTGAGTAGTGGGTGGATGTTGATAGGACTTCAGCTTGGTCGAACAGAACATTGTGGCCGACTTGGAGTGCGTGTTCGGCCACCGTTGATTTATCAGTTTGTCCCAGTCGACAGTTTCTTTCATGCGTGTTTGGAAGCTACGTATAGTGGTGCCTACTTATACTTTACCGCAGGAACACGGTATTCTGTATACGCCGGCACCGCTCAAGGGGTCCCTAGCGTCCTTTACTGATGTTAGGAGTTGCTGGATCTTATTTGTCGGCTTGTAGGTGGTCTTGACGTTGTGTTTCTGCAGCAACCTTCCTATTCTATCTGGGATGCCTTTAATGTATGGTAGGAAGGAGACTCCCGCAGGTGGTTCCTTGTCTCCTGCTCGTGTTCTATTTGTTCCCTGCGTTAGCCGTTTGCTTGTAAAACCATGTTAACATGATCCAGTTACCCTGCAGGTATTGAGGTTTACAAATTCGATGTGCCCTGTCTATAATATTTTTAATGACACCTCTTTTTGCCCAGATTGATGGTGGAGTCCTTGTGTAGATATCTGTCAGTGTTTGTTGTTTTGCGGTAAACCCTGTGACTCGGTTCTCTCGTCTGACCACCAACACGTCTAGGAAAGCCGGTTGATTATCCTCTTCTATCTCCATTGTTAATTTGATTTTGGGGTGAATGCTGTTTAGGTGATTTAGGAACTCTGCTAGTTCTGTGCTTCCGTGCCTTCATACCACGAAGGTATCATCCACATACCGTTGCCAACAACTGGGACGATCGGGAGCGGTCTTCAGTGCTGTTTCCTCGAACCGTTTCCATTGCGACGCCGTCAGTTTGTTCATAAAATTGATTGTTCCACAGCGCAAAAACCACGTCACTCAAGAGGCCCAGAGTACCGCCACCAGACAACTCAGTCCGCTGACCGCGTATAAAACCGCACGCTCATCCAGTTAACCGATCAGTCCAGAAGACGCAGGCAATCTTCATCCAACGAAGAAGGATTGCAAGACCTCTCGAAGCATCCATCTTCGACGAAGATATCCAGTGGAGCGACAAAGTCGAATATCTGGGGATCGTATTTGACAAGTCCCTCACCTGGAAAGACCACATAGAAGCTGTCATCGCAAAGACCAGAGCAGCCATGGCTCAACTCTACCCAATACTGGGTAGACACAGCCGGATGCCGCTAGCGACCAAGCTACGGCTGATCAAGGCCATCGCCAGACCTCAGCTCGCTTACGCCTCCGCGGTCTGGGGGTACGCTGCTCCCAGCTACCGCAAGCGACTTGCTGCTCTAGAGATGAAGCTACTCTGGATCGCCACCAGTGCACCATCCTACGTAAGAAACTCAACCTTGCGTAGGGACCTGCATTGGGACACCATTCACGAGTACATGAGGAAAAAAGCGGAGAAGACCTTCCAGAAAGCTCAGGACCACCCGAACGAGCAGCTAAGATTCCTCATGGACTACGATCCGGAAGAGAGGCGTCGCAATCGCAGAACCAGGTACCCTAGACCAAGGTCTCAGTTGGCACCCGCTAACTGGAACCTTGACTAGGAGTTTAGGAGAACCCGCGGTTGCTCCCCCCACGGCGTGGATGCAGAGGACCAGGAACCACCGGGACCAGGAACCACCGGGACCAGGAACCACCTGGACCAGGAACCACCGGAACCAGGACCCACCAGGACCAGGACTTGGCAGGACCAGGACCAGGAAACATATTGGTAAGAGGACTTGAACCTCTTGATTTTTCGAAAACAAGAGTTTCAAGAGAACCTAGCAGACCCTCTATCGATGATCGCTTAACGACATCGATAGAATGTGCGAGGTAAAGGGAACCAACCCGGCGTTCCCAGAGACTGAAACACATGAGGAGACGTTGTAGCAGACCGCAGGTCACGCACAACACATGGCCTACCGAGACGCTGATGAGTCGGGCCACGCGGAGGTTAGGGTTTAGTGGGTATTAGGTGGTCTCCTCAAGACAACCTGGAGTCCCACACACGCCGTAGCTCGGGCTATGTTATGGTGCGTAAACGCATTCCCCCTCACCAAAAAAAAAAAAAAAATAACCGATCAGTTTAAGTCGACTTGCCAAGCCAAGCACTTCGCTCTCGCCGACAGTGACGCTGAAGATGGCTACCGCAAATGCAGCCGTAAGCTCTGGATCAAATCCAACCCGACCACGGCTCAACAGCCCGAAAAACCTAAATTACATTAGAATTAACCGTGTTTTTTATTTTTAAACTTCAACTCCCCGTATCCTTTCAATGATGCGCCCCCTTGAAATGCGGCCCTGTGTATCATGTTTCATTTTTGGTCACGACTTGTGAATCACCCTGTACAGCAAAACTATATAAATAAAACCTTTGTTTGCAAGAGTTATTGCTCAGGTAATACCAGTTTACCTGCCACTTACGCTTGTAATTTTCAACTTTGCGCCTGCATTATCCATTATATCAAACGCTACAAACCGAACCGATGCTATTTTTATTTAAAATGCTTGTTAAACTTCCTCTCCACTCACATCCTGAGTGATATATGGAAGTCATTGAAAAATCGTTTTATTATGATATACACTCGTTAATCCCGGTGCTAACTATGTTAGACTGGGAAAACAACACTTAAGCATGGTGTTGCTATACGTTTACCTTTCCGACACAGTAGAGGATTATATTAAAAAAAAGATGACTTCTCTCATTTTTGAACACACACTCTCTGCAATAATTTTGATTCAACGTCTTTTAAGAAACTTTGTCAACCATTGTCATCGCTGATTAATAACTGTAGAATCCTTAAAGAACTTTACGAAGATTACCTTTTTTCAAACATCGAATCGTCGATCAGATTACCTGACCACAACATATACTTTTAAACTTTCTTTGCTTCAATGTCCCCGCCTATACATTGTCCAATAACCTTCCCCTCGTTTACCAAATCAAAGACCACCTCTTTTTCTTTGGCACGTGATTGACGGTGATCTTTCTGAAGTTCTCTTTGGGCACGCCCTTTCTCGGCTTGAACAGATTTACCTGCAGGCCGACCTTGATCTTCTTCGTGAGCGCCCCCTCGGGGAAGACCGCCTGCACCTGCGGCACCACCGTGCTGCTGACCATGCCCCCCTCGGGGCCGATAGCGTGCACCTCCTGCCTTACTCGAGACACGACGGCGAAGTACTGCGGGAAGTCCTGGGTGACGATGCGCGTTATGCGCCCGCCGGAGACGTCCTCCAGCTGCGATAGGTCTGCAAATAAAGGAAAAAATACTGAAGAAACTATGGTGCTATTTTACGGTGCTCTCGTGTAGCAGTTTAGCGGCCACGGCCTGCGTTAGTGAAGCAATTTCACACCCAGCGTGGGGTTTGCTGGGTTGTGGAAATTTTGATAGAAATCGGCAACCACTGGTGATCTTGGGGATTTAGTCGTTGTTATATTTTAACCATTGAATTATCCATTTTTTAGGGCAATATTGAATTCGTCAAAAGCTATTAATTCATCAACTTATTTAGTAGTAAAGAGAGAGAAGCACTTTGGATTTCTCATTGGTAACATATATATATATAACTTGAGACGTGGTCATTATCGTTTAGACCAGTTAGGTGAAAAATAAAGCTTCCGCCTTTTGTTGGGTACTTCAACAAAATTCAAGCAACGAGGACTCTTTATACTTTATTAATCTCTAGCTTTCAACGGACTTTGCCATCTTCATCAGGAGCTGCAATAACATTGAGAAGAAATAGCAATTATAGTGCAGAATGATTTTAAATTAACTTACAGTCGTATGTGAGATTATATATATATATATATATATATATATATATATATATATATATATATTGTTCTGTATCATAGTACACTGAGGATGATATAGTGTTATACTTATTATAATTTATTATATATATTATATCCTTGAATTTCTTTGGGTACAAAAGTAAACTCTTATAACTTAAACACAAGCTTTCGAAGATCTGTCTTCATCGTCTGGAGCTGGAAACAATTATTGACAATGCAACAATTAACAATTAGGAGGGAAAATAGTTACTTACTAAGTCGGCGATATTGTTGATGAAATTGTAACCTCCAAATTATCAGTGAGGAAAAAAAAGATGAAATCTCGAAGGAATTTTCAATAGTTGACAGTTTTCAAATTTCTTCCAAAATCAATCAACGTTTAAGTAAAAAACCTTTTCAGAAATAAAAAACATAGCTATGACTTGCCATTTAATAATAAAATAATTCCGTCCTAATCGAACCTCATCAATCCAGTTTTTTATTCGTCGACTATGTGTTCCCTTCACTGTTTAAAAACAATTTCAGAAACAATCTCGCCGAATTAGTAAGTAACTATTTTTCCTCCTAATTGTTAATTGTTGCTATTGTCAATAATTGTGTCCAGCTCCAGACGATGAAGACATAGATCTTCGAAAGCTTGAGTTTAAGTTATACGTTTTGCAATATTTTGCCTTCTACCCAAAGAAATTCAAGGATGATTTCTCCTAACAGTTAAGGCAATCAACTATGAATACTATATATATATATATATATAGTCTAGCAACATATCAAGCACGTTAGAGAATAAGTTTGCGAAGATTGTAAGGGATTCCCATAATCTTCTATATTTATCGCCACTTACCCTCTGCTTCAAAACTGTCGTGTAAAACTTCATTTAAAACTTCTTCTGTGGCTTCGACCGTATGTTCTTTCCACGACTCTCCATTGTCTGAGCGTAATATCACAATTTCTCGTTCTTTGCCACGAAGGGCAGCAAAATGCGGTACTTCGATGATCACAGGTCTGAAAGAAAAAACGAATATTTTTTATCCCTATTCCTCCTTCTGTATGGGTAACAACAGTTGCCACTTAAGTGTACGATTAGAAAATGGACGGGGTAGCACCCAAACCGACATAACTAAACGTAACGTGCAAAATGAAAGGGTACTACTCCATAAACTGGTGTTTGGGGCCGTACAAGCTTCCGTAATATTTTGAAGTGTCACTCACATACTTCTTTGTGTCAATCATTGTAAGTGGTCAACAGATAAGAACCACATGCACCTCCATTTTTATACAAGCATGAGCACGCATTGAAATTGCTGAAAATACATGAATTGCTGGTGCATGAAGTTAAGGTCTCCCCTTTGTCCATCCTATACTTAAGTCACTAAGCAAGTAAGGAACACTTGAGTGACAACCCCACGCGCTATGTTTCAATCTCGATTTCGCTATTGATACTCACCCCAAAAACTTAGCTCCAACGGGTCCCATTTCGATGACCCTGCTCGCCAACGCCTCGCCTTCCATCAAAGGCGGCGCTGCCGGATGGTGGGGGGCGCGATGCGCGCGCACGTAACGGCACGTGACGCGCGTCGGACTGGCCGCGCACCTCGGCGGGACGATGACGCGCACGCCTGATGCTCGCCGACCGCGCATTGCGCCACCTCGCGCGTCTACGAGGAACGACACCAGGAAGCTGGAACCAAACGATATTGTCAGTCTTAAAGGTCAATTTTTATGTCTTCTGTATAGGATGTTTCCTGAAAGTAGGACAAAAGCGCCAAAATATTCCTATGTGTCGTTATTGAACATTTGCTACACGTTCAGGAAAACTATTTCTAATAGATTAGACGGAGCCAAGCTTATATGTTTACGTTGCATTGTTTGTCGCCGAAATTGAGTAGTGCAGGCTTTTAATTTGTCTAGCGATGCTGCCAAAGTGACAGCGTTGTGTCAACACAATGATAATAAATACCTCCATTAGGCTTGTGCTACTCCTTGCAAATTATGTAAGTATTATGTCCTGACAATTATTTTTTAAAAAATAGCTCTAAAATTACGAGTTTAATGACAGAACTGTCAAAAATTGACTTATGTCAAGAGCACTTTGGTCCAAAATAAGGAGACAAACAAATACTTGAATAGCGCTCCTTTCCACCGCCTAGTCTAGATCAACAGGACAATACCCGTTATTTACTAGTAAATTCTAGAAGTACTAGGTGCTACATCTATTCTAAGTGCATGCTTTTCACTACCTAGAATAATTTGGGTGCTTGTATATACATCAAACTTACTTCTTCCAGTGAAGTTTCCTGTAGCATTAGACAAAACATATAAATATTAGAAAAGCATTTACGTATAATAGTACAACTACAAAATTCTACTATTTACACGGCGTTCTACATATACACTATAAACCCCTTATTAAACAAACCTTTCACATTATGTGCTATAACATATTATCAGCAAGCAGTTCAAACTGATTAATGCATTGTTCGTGTAAAGCAACAGCATGAACGGATACTTCTTGTACTTGTATACCATTGCTGGCTTAACTAATTGCCATTATTAACAATACAGAGTTCAGAAATATGAATAATGCTCCTAAGATCAACCCCTGTTGTATAAAAACAATTCCAGCAACAATCTCGCCGACCTAGTAACTAACTATTTTTCCCTCCTAATTGTTAATTGTTGCTATTGTCAATAATTGTTTCCAGCTCCAGACGATGAAGACATAGATCTTCGAAAGCTTGAGTTTAAGTTATAAGAGTGTACTTTTGCACTACTTTGCCTTATACCCAAAGAAATTCAAGGATATATTTCAAGGATATATATATATATATAGCTTCAGCTAGCCATTTCGTATGTCATTCATGACGTAACAGCTAAAAACACTATTCGTTGTTTACATAAATCTGAACAACTGTCCACATATTTTATTCTTTCATCCAAATCAACTGTCATCTAACCACGCCTTTCGCAAAATCAACTCACCCAATATTGACAGGATGTACCCCGATGTTATCCACGTTGTCACATTTCCTGACATATTCCACGTAGTTCCTGCCGACGTGTTCCGGACTGATGGCGTCCTCAATGTGCTGCGGAGGTTCCCCATTGGCTGTGGCTGGCAACCTATTGGAGTCTATCCGTTCGTCTCTGGTCACGTCAATGGGCAGCGAATCGTCACCAAGGGACTTCATTTCGTCTGCTGTCAGGTATCGGTAGGTTGTGTGGTCGCCCAACACTGTATCTTCGCCTGAGGACAAGCAGAAAGCATATCGTTAATATAATGATCTGATTTGTGAACTCAAAAGTCTTGTCTTTTGTTGACGCCGTTTGGTTTGAGTAGTAGAAAGATTTACGTTTTACTTGTATTCAATTTGAGTTAGATGCTACGCATTTTGTAGTTTTGAATCTATATAAGAGTCTGAATACTTTGTGTACTTATATAAATGGAAGTGTCATCGGCGAAATTTAGAATTTTGCATTTTTTGCAATCGTTTACGTATAAAATAAAGAGACGAAGTCCCAGGATGCTGCCCTGTGGAACACCTGACGTATTTAGAAAACAAACTTGATCGTTGCTCACAATATCACGTCATAGTTGACGGGAGACCATTTCTCGTTTCCCATAATGAACCCAGGTCTTCTTTAAGAAAGTTGCAATTATAAAAGACGTGCAGATGAAAAAATAATACTACTACTACAAGTACAAGATCGATCGCTGCTGAAAAATTTATGAGAAGAAAACTACAGGCTTTACTGTGACAAATGGCCTAGTGATCTTTTGGAATTATCGACTATAAGACGGTTTCGTCAACTGTATCGAGTGCTATTGAATTTAGCTGAATCGAAACTCGCAATAATGACCGAAACTTCGGAATGAAGGTTCTGCCTTTACGGCGTCTTAGGTGTATGTAATTTTATTATCTGCCACTTTTTTATCATTATACAGAACAAGTATTGTATACTTAATCCAGATTTAGATGAGGAATAGCTTTCGGTTGAATAAACAATAGAGTAAAATTTCCAAATACATCTATACATATAGCAACTAATTCTGAGATATCTCGTTTTGTATTATTTTTGGATTACAATAAAATACCACCTCATCCAGACTCATTCTACTGTTACATACTCTTAGCTTAATTTCGAAGTTTGTAATTGTACTTACAGATATACATTGTATAAAGTAAAGCCATTGTGGTGAATGTCTCTTTCACCTATGCATATAAACAATGCACTGCAGTTTGATAATTATTCGTTTTTTCGATTACTTTCATAACACAAAGGAAATGTAATAATGCGGTGGGCTTGGAGCTGAAGTACAAATACACGAAAAATATTTTTCAATCTTTCAGAAATTTACATAATGATTTAATAATTGTATCTTATCAGATTTTTAATAATCCCTATGTAACTTAGGCTCAGACATATCAACTGTATTTACTGTTTTTTAAAGAATTTACTATAAGGTAAATAACAGTTTTAATCTTGAACATGCTGCCTTCGTTCGTGGACAGATCTTTCGTGCTTTTTGGCAAGTCATCAGCATGGTCTAGATTTGATTTCTGGGATACCGCCACGATCGACAGCCTCTAGAGGTCTCAAGCGCGAACTGAGTCCGAACTGATTATGGTAACAGCGCTATAGTTTTAATCGTCTCATGGTCAAAATGCCTCGAAAATAGCAGACAATGAACTGAAAATCGTTTAAAGACATCCATGCTTGATATGTATGTACGAGGTCTGTGAATTAAGTGATGACACTGGCAACGTAGCGTCAATATAGTCATTTAAAACTACCTACCGTGTTGTTTTATTTCCACATGCAAAACTTCAATCGTTCCAATATAAAACTGAAATTACATTTGAACAAAATAATTAAAAAAAGAATCAGTATAATCACATAATTTACAGACCTCGTGCTTCACTTAAGCTCAAAATAATGATTAATTATAATCAAAATGCCATAGTCTGTTTTGCAAGTTTAAACCTTGACTATACTTGAATTGCCAACAATCGTTACGATACGAAAAAGAAAGGTTCAAGAACCATTATTCTTCAGCCTCAGCAATCTGACAGTAAAATGTTTGTCTGGTTGCCATATACGAAAGATTCTGTTTATATACGATTTAATGTCGTTAATCTTATTATCTCATCACTGTCTATACGTTGCTGATGATTATATGAATATTAATTAGATAATAATAGAACTACACAAACATCGCTAAAATACCATAATGCTTTTTGCGTTGGTAAAATGAGAACGAGAATTGTTACCCACGGTTGTCCACAAAAGCAACGATTAACATGTTGTTGAACAATGACCCAATCACTTTGTTTCCTAAAATGCCTGCCCATACAATAATTTTTTGGGGTACTGGGTATCCCTTGTACAAAAGCATGTGGATTTCCATTGCTCCAATACCTGCAGTTATATTTAATAACATTTAGATAAAATGTGCATTCATCACTGAAGCAGATATTCTTTACATGAATGGTAATATCAATAATAGCTGAAGTTATTTGTTCACAAATCTGAACTCGAATATCGAAATCATCTTCGGCTACCTGTTGGAATATATCTTATTCTTATTCAAATAAAAAGTGTGTTTTTGTTTTTTATGACAACAAATTAAGACGATGTCTAATTTTCTCGAAACGGAATCGACTGTTTTTAAAAAAATCAAACGTCACAAGGACTTGCCACATGTATACTTTATCTGAAGTCACTTGAAACACTGTGAAATACCGGGTGCGTTTTATATATCTATATTTAACACGCTCTGTTGCTGCAAAAATCGCCAAATTTCGCAGCAAATATCCCCCGTATAAGATCAAAGGCAGTTTCATCGGTCCACGTGGAGTAAAGCACGCCTATACGTGGACATAGCCAATGAGAAAGCGTGTATTTCAGAGCTCCGAACAAGTGCAGGTGGCTACTGAAAATTGAAACAGTTTAGCCAGTGCCGTGTAGCGGTGAATAAACGTGTTTTCTTTAGTCTGTCCGTGTTTTTTTCATAGATTTTATTAGTTTGTGTGTTTTTGACTTTTGAATACTCAGTTTACTTGTTGATTTAATTGTTGTGTTGATTGTTCTTGTGTGTTCTAAATATGGCTCTTTGGAGACCTTGGGAAAATGCTCCAAGCCACGAGGAGATGGTTGATGAACCTGTGCAGGCAGAATTCTTTCATAAAGATTTAGAGATATTCGTCGTATAATATACGGATTTTATAAAGAAAATTTGGTGCCCACGTTGGAAATGATACGGGATAAATTAAAAGATTATCCTGAAGATTTTTATAATTACAAATGCTTAGACTCACTGCACTGTGTTGTAAAACTGTGTGGTTTTCAATACAAAAAATTAAAAGAATGGTGATTATGGAGTCGTCTCGAATCGTTGAATTGCGCCAAGAATTTTTGCACAAAGTTAAAATCTATAGAGAGCAGAAAAGAAATCTGATTTACCTGAATGAAACGTGGTATGATACCCATGATGTTGTGCAGTACGGCTGGGTTGACGACAGCAACAAGTGCATTTTAAATGCACCATGCAACCGTGGAAAACGAATCATTATTCTCCATGCTGGCAGTGAAAATGGATTTATACCTAATGCCTTGCTGTTATCTGCCAAAAATATCAAATAATCATGTGCCGACTATCATGAAGACATGACCTCCGACTTATTTGAAAAGTGGATAGAGCAGCAGTTAATACCAAACATTTCCCCAAATTCAGTGATTATTATGGACAATGCGCCATACCATTCCCGACAGAAAAACAAAATTCCGAATACAGGCACAAAAAACAAGACATTATTGATTTTATGAAGGATAAGGGAATGGAAATACCACAAAAATCAACCGAAGCCATATTATTGGATCTTATTAAAAGACAAAAATTTGAAAAAGAGTATGTTGTTGACAATCTGCTTCAGCAAAATGGCCATGAAGTATTACGTCTACCTCCCTATTACTGCATTTTTAACCCGATTGAGTTGGTCTGGGCTGCTTTAAAAAAAAGTAAGAAAACATAATCAGACCCCTCAATTAAGTGAATCGCTATTGGCCACAATAAGAGATGCAGTATCTCATATTGCTGCCACAGACCTATGGAAGCAGTGTTCTAGGCATATTATTGAAAAAGAAAATGAATATTGTGTTTTGCCTCCTGTAAATCCCGTTGTAATTCCTCTATAAGATGACTCTAGCGACAGCTCCGAAGGCGAGGATGATATATAAATACCTATAATGTAAGTCTTTATATACCTTTTTATATACCTACCTGCAATGTAAATATTTGCCTATGTCAAACGTTGGAATTCTGTAATTTTTCCATTTCTTAACTTTCAGTCAACATAAATTAAACTCCCAATATAAGTATTTTTTATCCCAAATCAAAAAAATAAGAAGATAGTAAAATCCATTTATTGTGATATAAAAACATTATTATTATCGTTCTAAATAAATGACCGCACGCCTATGATACGTCATGAAATTACAAAGGACGCGCCGACCAAAGGTTTTTATGCTATTTCAAGTGACTTCAGATATACCATACACTGTATTTTGAGTGATCAATAAGTCTATCTAATGTGTATTGCCGTAGATCTTCAAACTTCAAGATACCTGAAGTTTTCAGGAAATATGAATACAGTGACGTCGACCTGGTATTCATCATAAGCTCTATCGGTAACTGTGTACTACTATACTAGTATACTAGTAAGTAAAGAAGCATGTAAGCTTAATAGCAAAACAAACATTTAACGGAAACAAAAAGGCGATTGTATTACCTATTTGTGTATTTGTTGTAAGCAATCATGGTGTGTGATGTTGGTTGGAATTATGAGGAAATGTCATGACTCATTACCTTTCATAAGTTTATTGTAATAATACCGAAATGTCCATTGTATACTTACAGAATATGTAAACATGGTATTTGGCTTTTAGGAAGCTATGCAAAAATCAAATTGTTTTTATAGCCTCCTTGATTTTCATAGTTTTCTACTGTTCCCTGTCAGCGCGTATTTTGAGGTTATGTCACAAATATCTATTTGCATCAAACAGTTTATGCTTTAGATTTATATCACCTGTTTTATAAGCTTGGAATTTCCTATAATTCAAAAAGAAAACAAAACTTCACAATGGGAGAGCGCTGACTTTGACCCGGAACAATATATACTAAGTGACATATAAATCCGAACACCCAGTTTAAATGGTTTTATTTTAATAAAAGTTGGTGAATGTATT